CATTTCAATTTCGAAGGAACTCACACTAATTAAAATTTATGGGAAAAAGTAGATTCCTGCACACCTGTAGGAAGCTACTGTGCAGGTGGTAGATGCTACTCTTATGATTTCCTGTATTGTAACTTTTCTGTTCATTCAAGCCTCTGATAGCTTTTTCAGAGGAGGTGGAAGAATTCTGTAGCTCGTGGACTATTTCCACAGGATCAGGCAGTTCTCTAACTAGTTAGGAAAGGATGAGAGCCCTCAGGTTAAATTTCAGTTAGGTATTTCCCCGCCCCCTCTACCTCCATTTGAAGTACTCAGTCTGGTTTCAAAAGAATAGAAGCCAACTATTGTTTAATAAACATCAATGAAGTAATAAAAAGGCACACCACAAAAGCACCCCTGCAGGATTTTCATCTACTATTCTTAGCCTGGATAGACGGAGCACAGCGAGTGATATTACCGAGTATTTTCCAAACTTGCCTGATCCAGGCATCACCTGTAGTGGGCACTGTTAACTACAGACTCCAGGCTCTTAGAGATTGAGATTCAGGTATCTGTGGGGACATGGGGTGAAGGGGGTGGGAGTAGACTGGAACCTGTAACTTTAACAAGTGCCTTTTTTGTGTCTTAAGAATGGGCAAGTTTGGGGGCGCCTGGGTGGCTCAGTCGGTTAAGCTCAGGTCATGATCCCAGGGTCCCTGCTCCACGGGGAGTCTGCTTCTCTCTCTCCCTCTGCCCCTCCCCCCTGCTCGTGCTCTCTCTTTCTCTGTCTCGAATAAATAAAATCTTAAAAAAAAAAAAAAGAACGGGCAAGTTTGGGGATCTAATCTAAAACCAATGTAAACTTTTACCAAGAAGAGCTGCTTGGCGGTTACAAATCCAGAGACGCTGTGTCTTCTGTTCAGTAATTCCTTATCTATAGGGTTTATCTAGGGTTGAGTCATTCCGAATCTATAACCAGTAAATCACTGCAGTGACATTTTTGTCTAGTGGCTTTATAATGAAGCACACTGAACTGGCCAAGGACAGAGCAAAATATTTTTTTGCATGAGTTAGAAAACCAGAAAGAGTGGAGTCCAAGGCGTTAATCCAACATGGGTGTGTGTGTGTACGTGTGTGTGTACACACGGTTCCAAGTTTCTAGTGGACTTTGGCAAAATCTTTTGACATACCAATGTTCTCATCTGCAGAATTGGGATAATAATGCCAACTTCGTAGGTTTCTATGAGGACTGAAGGGAAGAGCATCCATAAAGCCCTAGCACAGAGTCAGCATTTAATGAAAGCTTACTATTGCTACTGTCAGTTACACACTGGGATTTCAATCTTTATGATCAAAGGATATTCTGACTACAAGTTTGCCTTAAAGTTTCCTATTTTTTTAATAAGTTATGTCCTCAAACAACTTAGTTCTGGTGCCATCACGTGTGGTTTTACCCAAATGGAATTTTTCTAGAATGTCTAAATCTGTTTTATTATTTCATAATTCTCAGAGCTACAAACGCTGCAGATGTCTTGTCTGATCTGTGCACTTGAAAAAAATGAATTAGTTCTAACATTCACACATCTAGAGATGACACAAAAATCTAGATTTCCAGGGAAAAATGAGATGTTTCAGTATACAGGACCCTTGTTCTCCTAATTTGTGTGACTCAGCTGGCCCTTGTAGGCAGCTGAGTTTTTACCTCTACACCCAGGATGATGTCTTATTTCTCAGATATCTGTGGATTGTCAGTTCTTAGCCTGGTGAGTAGGTCATGAATCGATGAATGGGAGAAACAGCAACTTAACTGCCCCTCACACCAACGGACTGTTTCAGCCTGTCCAGCCTGCAGACCCCCAGCTGAATATCCACAGAGCCCAGTTTCCACGATTCCCCAAAAGCTCCTGAACACAGTCCATCCCCAGCCCGGCACCCGAGATCAACCTCTACTCCCGTCCGATTCCACCTTCCTTTTCCAGCCATGTTTCTTCCCCAGCTAACCCAGCTGCATCCCACACCATTCTCTGAACCTGCCTTATGCTTCTGCAGCTCAGAGCCTCTGCCCTCCTCTATACCCCTTTCTGGCGAAAGCCTCCCCATCTTCCAAGTGCCACATTGGTAGTCATTGGTTTATAAATATGAAGTGACACATACCCAATATATAGTGCCTCGTAGTGAGCTAAGTATATGCCCTAATTCTGCTGCTTGATGTGCAAGCATCCGCCACCCCCCAGCACCCCATGGCAGAAACCACGTCACAGTCATCCTACTAACACCAGCATCCCTTCCAACACGTCCCCAGCATGTTGGAAGGGATGCTCACAATATCTAAATACAGGAACACATTTCCATCTTAAGGAGAAAATGCTGCTAAGTAATAATCTACTTTCTTCCTCATCCTACTACAACATAAAAACTTTTCTCAACTAGTTTGTTTTGGCCCTCCTTACAAAGCTTAACTGAACATTAACCTTTATCATATCATTTACCTGATGTCTGAAAATATTAATTTCTTTAATGAGAAATAGGGATTATACAACCTCCAGTGTGGTCATAAGGATTCAATGAGCTAAATGCAGAAAAAGTGCTTAGTACAGTGCCTGGCATTGAGGGAACATTAGGGCATGGATATTATTACTGTGTAGAAACTCACCTAATATTTAGGAGCCAGTTTAGAAGTGGCTCACTTCATTCTATTTTTCTAAGATACTTCTTAGAAAAGAGCAGGTCAAAGAATATAGTTTGTGTGCCTTAGACTAAAATATATTTTGCTCAAAAAATTAAAACATTATTTAAAATGCCAGTGGATCAGGAAATAGTAGCTTTTTTTTTTTTTTAATACACTTTTATAACCAGCAAGGTACTGATTGATTCAGGAAAAGATTACCAATGAATGTTCAAACTGGTGGGCAAAGTGTGTTGAACAGCATATTTACAGTCCCACAATTTCATCCCATCGATTACTTATTAATCCCAAAGGGAAAAAGCTACTTTTACATTGGAGAAATTTGGTGGATGTCACTTCAACTAAGTGGTCAAAATTATCATCACAAAAGAAAAACCATAACCCACATGCATCAAGATTTATAAAAGCCAGAAATAAAAAAGACAAAAACAAGAAATAGAAATTTAAAAAAAAATTACTGTCATCATTATGGGCCAAATGGATCCTTGTGAAGTGATCTAATAAGGACCTAACATCACCTATACAGTATTCTTGCAAAGAAAAAAACAAAAATTAACCTGATTCTACCAGTGAGAGACCAACCAGACAAATTCAGAGACATTAATAAACATAGCACATAGGCCTTGCTTGATCAGATCCTCTTTCCGGAAAATAAGCACAGCCATAAAGATCCTTATTGGGCTGACGAGTGAAGTTTGAATGTGCACTGCATATTGGGTAATAAAAATAGGGCAAAATGCAATTGTGACTGTTATATTTTGAATGACCATCTCTTTCCTGGCGATTCTGGGAATCTAGGCCTCACAGTGTGAAAATTACATGTGCTATGTTTGCTGCATTGGATTGGATTAGAGGTTTTGTACGAAGAATGGGCAACTGGGCTGTAGTTGTATAAATGGGCATAAAAACTTAGAAGACAGCGGTTGCTGATAATGCATGTCAGTCTGTGCTGTGTGTGGGGGGACAATGCTAACTGCCCAGAGAGTGCTGGGCAAATGTGACTGCCAGGGTGCTTGCTTTATTTCAAGATTTTAGGAACTTTTGCCTAATGAGAATGGATTACTAGGAAAATCGGAGCGCCATTTCATTGTCTTCCCGGTCCAGCAGGGATGAGCAGGCAGCTGATGGGAGCAGATCTGGCTGTCTTGTCTGAGACTGTGCTGTATTAGACTCAACTACGGGGAAATCAAACAACCATGGGGAGGACTGGCTGGCAGTCATTAGAGTCATTCAGTGTTTGGGCCTCTGTGTTTCAGGGGGTGAGAGGAGCCATTAACAGCTTACTTTTAGTTTTAGAAGCTAGAGATACTTTCATTACCAGTGTCCTCAGGCACAGGCTTTTTAATTTAAAAAAAGAAAGTTCAGGATGGAAATCACCTGTCACTACAGGAACGTCTCTGCAGCAGAAACACATTATAGTTTACCTGTCAATCTTACCATCATGCCAGGTTTACTGTGTCTGGAACGAAGGAGAGGGAGTAGGGAAGGGAGGTGATGGTGGGGTTCACGGAGGAGCCCCTGGAATCACTAATACCTCGGAAAAGCTGGAGGCTTAATTCCAAAGTGGTACTGAGACTTCAGGTTTCTTAACCTCTGGGGCTAATAAGAAAGCAACCATTCTGGCTCTTAGATTTTCCCTCCTTCTTCCAAAGCCACAATGCCGTACTTTGGGGATTTTTTTGGACAGGTGTTATGGTAGATTCAAGTTGGCTACAAGTTCTTTGTCACTCTCCCCAGCAGGAGGTAGATTTTATTTCCCCTCCCTTTGAATCTGGGCTGGCTCTGTATCTCCTGAACCAACAGACTGCCCCAGAAGTGCACTGAGCAATTTCCGGCCTGGCCTTTCAGAGCATGGTGGCTTGGGCTTCCTTCCTCTTGGAACGCTTGTGCCGGGGCCAACCCCCTTAGAACCCGGCTCCCGAGCTGGGACGGGGCCAAGCCACACAGAGAGGCCCTAAGCCAGTATGGATTGGCAGCCCATGGGAAAGCATTGTAGGACATCACAGCCCCACCTTGCCACAGAAGCAGGCCAGCAAAGGCCAGGCCACTCAGGAGAAGCACAGAATCATGAGAGAGAATAAAATGTTGTCTTAAGCTGCTAAGTTCTGGCGTGGTTTGCCCTGCAGCGAGAGGTAACTAAAATTTATAAAAGAAAAGTTCCCGAGAAGGAAGATCATCTTGCTAACCAGCGAAGAGTAGCGAAGCACAGGTCAGGACACGTGCTGAGTGGGAACGGAACCGTTTAGAACACGTGATCACATCCTTGTCCTTTAGCGGGTTTGACCTCAAAACTGGCGTCGGCTTTGAGGGCCTCTTTCTGATGTTCAACACAGAAAACTCAGAAAAAGAAAAAAAAAATCTCATTTTAATACAGCCTCATCCCCACACTTGTGTTTCACACAGACCTTATTTTTTAAACAGAGTTTATTGTATTTAATACATTATAAAATTTGAAAAATTGTAGGAAAGCAGCAGACTCAAACTGGAGCAACTCTAACAAGTAATAATTCTGGCCCCTTTGCAAAACTGATCAGTTTAAAAACAAAGTAATGTTCACATCTGTGAAGGCGGACAAAAAAGTGTGACTTCTGTACAAACTACATTTAAAATGTCTAATGTCTTTCGAATGCAGTGTGCTCATGAGGGTTTTTCTGAAGTCCTGCCAGGTCCCGCTTAAAAGAGAGGACATGAAGCCTCCGTATGCAAATAAACTCCATTCAAGGTGTTTTGTGTTAAAAAAAAAAAAAAAAAGGAAAAAGAAAGACAAAGGAAAAGGAAACAATGGATGGCTGTTGGCAATGGAAACCGTAAGGAGATGCGTCCTCATTGCTCATGGCTTGTATATTGGTCGGGGGCCTCGGGAGGCCCGGGACACCTCACGGCCATCACAGCACCAACTGTAGCTACCACCTTTTTAAAACTTTTTTTTTTTTCCTTTTTTTGCATTTCCTACCTTTTGACATATATATATATTTATATATTTTTTTTACACCTTGAGGATATCACTATTCCAATTGTTCCCATATGAATACAGGTGTGGTCTCTATTGGATATAAATGTGTCTTTTTATTCAATTTTAGGTCCAGGACTTGGTTTGCTGTCCCAACTGCACATAAATGTCCCTTTTTTTGTTTGCGTTACTTGTTGTGTACGGTTTTCTTTTTTCCTTTTTGCATAAGAAATCTGTCCATTTAGTCCAGAGGCTCCTGCTTTATCCGGATAACGGAGGGCACACGGGGCGTCCGCCTCAGCTCCCGCCGCAGGACGTACTCACTGAACTGAGACGAGTCTACTCCTCCTCCACAGGAGCCCACGATTTCAAATCCCCTCTGCTGCAACCTCTCGAGGACCTGCACGGGGCCAAGACAAGCATCCTGGTTAGCGGGGAGATGGGTCCTCTGGCCACACACACAGCCCAAAGAAGTGTCCTGAAGTTTGAGATCTTGTGCAGCCCGGGTCACTCTTACCCGTCCCCCAAGTCTCTTGAGTTGCCGCTTCCGGTGGAAGACCCTGGATGGAAGGGCAGGAGGGAGGGAGCATCGTTTCTAAGACTTCAGATGCGCCTTTCCATGCCTGCCACACACGGGCCAGCTCATTTAATGGTTACAACCACCTGGCAGTATAGGTGGACAGCCCATTTCATACATGGGGAAACTGAGGCTCCCAGCACGTCAGTGATGGGATTGGGTTTCCAACTCAGGTCTGTCTGGCCTCAGATGCCACGTTTCTTGCAACGTGCAATGCTACCTTCTCTGCAAAAAGAGAGGGTTCACATTTCAAATCTCATCACTAAAATATCGTCCAGGAGATGATAAATGATATGGCCACACGCTGATTTTATCTGAATTTACTCAGCCAGTGATTCATTCTCAACTCATTCACCCTCAGCTCTGCCCCTGTTTGAAGGCTGCCAGTACGAACTTAATATATTTCAGTTTGGAAGACCGATATCATTTCAATAGCAGAACAAATGGACTGCTGAAGACAGTCGAGGTTTATCTACAGGTTTTCAAGTTTATGGCGTCCGAAATAGATTTATTGCCCTGTGTGCATTCAGGGAGGCAAGCATAAATGCAACGGTTAAATGTTGGAAAACACACCCAAAATAAAGATATTCTAAACTTCTCATGTAATAATCACTTCTCATAATCTCTTCAATTTTGAAATCAAATACGTAATGCCAGAAAGATCCCTGGGTCGGTCACCTATAGGTCTGACAGCCTTAAATGCAGGAAACAAGTCCTACACTCTTAGATAGGCAAAAATACAGAAAATTGATCTAGAGCATCGTTTCCCTAGAAATCCAACAGACACTGGACTTGCAAATGTTCCCTGGGCTTCTGGGTAGAATTAAATTGCTTCTCCAACACTCTAAAGGGATGACAACTCAATCATAGCTTAAAAAAAAAAAGCTTGGCTCAAAATTTTTTAAGGGGGAATGAAGTGAAATGTTATTAAATAACTTTCAAAATTTACTCAATGTAAGGTGTTTCTCTGTTTCTCTTTAAATTATTATTTTTTGGTCACCTTCTATGTGGAATGTAATTTGCTAGTTTGCAAAACGGCTAACTAGAGATTGGAAAACAATACAGTATGCTTTCTAAAAACTCAAACTTCAAATGCTGGCAAATTTAAAAAAAAAGTCCTTATGAGAAAATAAACATTCTACCCTGCAGTGCTCTAGTTCTGTAGCTATATTCACATGCATACACACACCAGTCAGCAAAGGGACAGGATGAAGAAAATAATCCCTAAGTTCAAAATCAAGAAGTGCTTTGGTGGCAAGTCAGTAATAGAAAGGTGAAGACCTGAGAGCCCACTCTAAGATTTCCCCAGCAGAGGCAGGAACACAGCCCGTCAGCAAGAAAAACCCCAGTTTGCTCGGCCAAACCACTGCACTAGGAAGGATTCTTTGCCTTGATTGGGAGAGGAATTACAAAGGTAGAAGAAGCTGTGAACAATGAAGCACCCAATGCTGGTATGGTCGGTCTTGCAGTGTTGTTAGGTTGCTAAATTGTTGAATATGGAAATCCCGAAGCTTCCTCCCCAAATAATATGATCATCATTCCATATGACCCAATGTTACCCTGGATGTGATCAAAGCTTATTTCAATGCCATGCAAACTGCTACGCTCCCTGGCCAGTTCTTTTTAAACATCAATTTGTGAATAGCAAAATTCCTTAACGTTAGTGATCACTTGAGAATATTAAAATCACTCCAGGGGTGGGTTGGAGTATCAGGTCTTGTGCATCTTAGCCCAAAACTTCTGGATGCCTAGAGCACAGTGCCTATTTTCTTGGTCGGTGGAACAGGAAGCTAGAGTCATCGACCGTGTCATGGTCACGTCATGGCTGTGTCACCGACGATGTTAATCCAGATTAAAACGTCCTCATCTGATCAGACTTGAATAACTGGGTAACTTGTCAGGCATATGAATTTACTCCATGGCTTTTGTGTGAGAGATGGAGCCCTAGGGAAGCAGTGCTGTCTGTCATCTGACGGGCGCTGCCCCCGCCTCCATCTGGAGGGAAGCTGGGGCAGGCTGTGTGTGTGGGAGGCGAAAGGCTTTCAGAGCTTTAGAGGCTGTGATGATAAGTAGCAGAGGCCCCGCTCGGGAACACAGGGTGGTGCGGATACCTCTGGCCCCATCCAACCCAGCGGCTGCCATGCTCTTGAGTGTCTCGCCAGCGCTCCTGGGACGCTGCTCCCGCCAGTTTCCCCTGCTCTTCTGTCCTCAGACATCTGTTCATAAATTTTAAACATTATAAATAGTTGTGGAACAATCTCCAAGAGGAATGGTAGAGTGGGTGCTTCTAGTCTTTGAGCTGTGGGAGAGGTTTTGTTGGGTCAATCCTGAACAAAGTCATGGGCCCCCTCCAATTAAAAAGAGCTGGGGGGGGGACCCCAAGCCCTTACTCCATTGACTTGAAATCGTTTTGAGTCTTATAGACCTGGAGCCAAGACATAGGTATGTCTCCACTTTCTCCTCAGCAAGACGGGGGATTCACAGTGCTCACCTGTTAGGGTTCTAAGAAGACAAGGCACGTACCACCCTTGGCCCAGAGCCGCCACGCATTAGTTAAGATGATGAACACACCCACCAACGTGTTAAGGGACATGGCATCTCACATGTGAACTGAATTCCACCCCTAAGTCTCCTTCTCCCATAGATTTCTCTGTCTCAGAAAATGGCAATTCCATTCATCTAGTTGCCCTGTCAAAAATCGTAGTCATCCTTGGTTTCTTAGAACACACAGCCGTTGTCAGAGAACCTTGTTAGCTCTATGACACTCGAAATATTCAGAACTGGACACTTCTCAAATGTTGCTAACTGGTCCCCTTGCTTCCACCATTCTCCATCTGCTGCTGGAGTATTCATTATCAAATCTGAGTTACATCATGCCACACTTTTGCTCAAATTTTTCAAATGGCTTTCCATTTTACTCACACAAGCAAATGATCCCAAACCAAAATAAACCAAAACAAAAAAAAATCCCAGAGCCCAAGAGGCAATCCATGATCTGTCCCTGGCCACCTGCTGGCCTCGTGTCTCGGCGCTCCCTATCCCTGACACTTGATCTTCAAGCCCCATGGGCTCTCCGGATACTCCTCAACATTCCAAGCAGACTCCTACCTCGGGGTCGTCGCAACTTACTGGTCCCTCTGCCTGGGATATTCCATCCCAGCTGTCCTCTTCTCACCATCTGACCAACATTTCTTTTTTTTTTTTTCTCATTAAACTTTTGTTTTAACGGGTCTGCTGGTTACTGTTTGCCACCCCCCCACCATCCCCCTATCCTTCTCAGAACGTAAATTCTGGGACAATAGAGCTATTGTCTCTTTCTTCGACTTCTGGATCTCCAGTGCTCATACCAGCACCGGGCACATAGTAGATGTTCAACAAATACCCGGGGAACGATTGAATGAGTGCGTAGAGGGTGCACGTGCTTGCTTGCCTACCCAACAGAAGTGATGCCACGTGAGTCTCCCAGCTCCCTGGAGGGAAGGCGCTGTGTGAAGGCAAGGTTAAGTAACAGCATTAAGAGCGACATTGGATGCCACACAGTGTGTGACAAGGCTATACCTGGACCGAGTTGAGGTGACAGTAGCCGTTCAGTGGAAACCTAATGACATGCGTTGAGTCGTGATTCCAGCCTGCGTTGACAGAGTTACACATCACGTCGCCGATCTCTGGAAACACTTCTTCTATCAAGGATTTGTCACCGCTGAGTGTGATCCTTTCTCCGAGGTCTGGGGCAACTCGCACCACTAGGCACTCACAAGGCCTTGAAAAGCGACCAGTTTCTCTGTCCTGCTTCCATCTTTCCATCTCCAACAACATGGGCTGAAGCTGAAAATATTTTGCCTCTTCATATAACAAAGTATAGTCCTGGAAAAGAAAAAAGGGTATTTCACAGTGCAAAATACAAACATGAAGCACTGAAAATGTCCACAGATGAGAGGTGATTTTCTTCCACCTGTTATTTCAATAATCAAATCTGCGTGTAAGTTTGTCACTCACCACACATTTGTGCATGCATTCATTCAGCGATGATAAACGGAGCGTAAGGGTACTAAGGGCCAGGCAGGCCCTCTTCTAAAGGCTCCCCATGAATGAAGTCCTATAACCCCCACAACCGCCCCGTGAATCTGGAACCATTAGTATTCCCCTTGGGCAGGCGAGAAAACGGAGATGAGAAAGGCTGAACCCACGACTTCTCTCTTTCAGCAGAAGCCTCCGGGCATTCAAAATTGGTGGCGGTGAGAACCCACTTCACGTCCTCGCTAGGGAGCCACGCATAGGTTGCGGTGAGGGGGTCCCACGCGCACTATCCACGGGGAGCTTACGTCCCCTGTCCCGTTCACCGCAGCTCAGACCGCCTGGTGGGAGGCAGGGGGCGGCGCCGGGGGGTGGGGGGTGGGCTGCACAGGGTGGCGGGTGGGCAGCTGCAGGGCGTGCATGCTGCTTCTACCTGAGCGTGGGTGCCGATCTCTGACGGTCTGGGGGAGGCTGACGCACCGCCCTGGGCCGGCTATCGGCGCTGCCACCCTCAAGTGAGCCCACGATCCCCGCAGGACAGAGGTGCCAGGAAGGAAACCCGTCCCTCTCTGAAAGCACAGCCACCATTCTTTGAGCATGCTTCTTCTTCTCTTGCCTTAAAAACAAATCTACTGAATTAAAGCAGAAATCCGGCAAGCGGGTATTAAAACACACACACACAAGTCACTGGATGGGAGGACAAAGGAGGCTGCGGGGGAGGCAGCGACGTAGGAATGATGTTATCACGTGGGGCAATATTATGTCTACACGTAGCTATGACCACAATCATCTCGGGGTGGGAGGCAAGTGGACACCTGTCCAGGCATGTTGACTGAGGACGTTTTTGTTTTTTTAAAGATTTTATTTATTTTTGACACAGAGAGAGAGCACAAGCAGGGGGAACAGCAGAGGGAGAGGGAGAAGCAGACTCCCCGCTGAGCAGGGAGCCCAACACGGGGCTCGATCCCAGGAACCCGGGATCGTGACCTGAGCCGAAGGCAGACGCTTAACCATCTGAGTCACCCAGGCGCCCCGACTGAGGACGTTTTAATGAGCTCACACCGGCGTGTCTGAGGTCCTTCCCTGGTGGGAGCGAGCCGCGGGCCGGTGCCTGCAGCAGAGCCGACGCCGAGAGCCCGGCGCTGCCAGAGCTCCGCCTCCGCATGGGACGGAGCGCGGAGGTGATGACCACCCGAGAACGGGTTTTATGTGGCACCTGGCTCTTCTTGTTGCAAATTAAGCAGCAGCAGCAGCAGCAGCAGCAGCGTCTGGGGCTTCCAGAGAAAGACGTGGAGAGGTGAGAAAGTGCCAGCGGGCCTGCAGCTGGCTCTTCCACTTTCTGTGTCGAGACATTTGGGCCAGGGGAAGATGCTGTCCCAGACATTCCTCTGCAGCGTGGCCCGCTTCTGTGTTCTGCCCTGTCCTGGCGACCCCATTCTTACAGGAGCCTTGGTTCCCCGCTGGAGATGATCTTCCTCTCACATACTGGCACCTGCTTTGTCTCCCGACGCGCAGGAGGTACTGTTTGTTTGAGGAGGTGAGCACCAAGCTGAGGTGTGGCCACTTTTAAGACAGGACAGAACTGAGGTCCATCCGCCGGCTTGAGGGCAGGAGTGGGGAGACTGCCGGGTTCTCCCGGGTTCCTGGGACCCCGTGTGGGGGCCTTGCCATCTCCTTAGTACATCAACTGTGAGATAGTGACCTCGATCCTTTACTTACCTATCAAGATGACAGCTCGCAAGGAGATTGAAAAACAGCACTGACAGTTACACAAGCAACAGAAGTGAGACTTTCTGCTACTGCTTTTTATTTTCCTTTGAGAATTAGAAATTGTAGCACAAGGAAGGATCTGGACTCCAGTGGAAATATGTCATCAAGTCTTCAAATCTGAGACTGCTAGAACAGTCTTATTGACCAACCTTGACCTTATGGAGGAATCCTTTCCAACACTGCTGAATAATGACCATTAGCCTCTGATTCAATGCTTCCAGTGACGGGAAGCTTACTATCTAACAGGGAACAGCATTTACTTTGTTGGCCGCTCTGATTAAACTTCTGGAAACTTCTTGGTTAGAATGACCTGAATTTCCCTGTAGTTCCAACTTATTCAAATTCTGCCATCTGGTGATCCTAAACTTTCTTTGACATGTGAACCCTTCACACATTTGAAGACAACGGTTATGTCTTTATATCATTCAGGCTGAAAATACCCAATCTTTTCAGCTCTTTCTTATTTGTTATGACTTAGAGGTCCTTCGACATCTGGTACGTGCTTGACTTCGTCAACATAGTTCTGAAAACCCAAACCGGAACTGAACGTAACATTTCAGATGTGATATGAGTGCATTGTAGAACCTTCGTTTGGCTGGACATTCTAATCACTCTTAAAGCAGCCTACATTCTTCTCCTATGGCTGCTGCAACAATTACAACACACTGAGCGGCTTAAAACCACACAAATTTATTCTCTTACAGTTCTGGAAGCTGGTCATTAAGGTGGTGTTTCTTCTGGAAACTCTAGAGGAGAATCCATATCCTTGCCTTTTTCAGCTTGCACAGGCAGCCCATATTCCTCGCCTGGGGTCCTGCATACCTCCCGCTTCTACTATTGTCATATCTTCTCTGACTCTGACCCTCCTGCTTCCCCCTTTCACTTGGAAGGACCCTTGTGAGCACACTGGACCCACCTGGATGATCCACGATAATCTCCCCATCTCAAGACCCTTCACTTAATCACACCTGCACAGTCTCTTCTGCCATGTAAAGTGCCATACTCCTGGCTTCCAGGAATTACGACGCAGACTTTTTTTTTTTTTTT